AAAAACCGCGAGAGGATCGAAGTTTGGCTCGTGAACCAAGTTGCTCTTCAAAACAAGCAAGTAGTAACGACGGAGTTTGAACGGCCGAGTCCGCATCGCGCGTGATAAGATTAAGTGGTGCGAAACGAGAAAGTAAAGATGGAGAAAAATGACAAAAGCTTTCTTTATGCCCTCTTTTGAGAATCGCTCGCAATCTTTGAGGACTGATCACGATATTCGAGTCGCGTTCGTCCAACTTGAATCTCACCATGACTTTACGAGCGTAAGTCTTTTTACAATCTCCGTCTTCATTCGCCAAGTTGGACACGCGCGCGTAAAAGAAGTTTTTTATCCATCGTTTTTTATCAAGAAATAATTCAGTAATTTGAAGAAATTATTTAAAAATTATCTTTAGCAATTGTATTTGAAATTAAATGAAACCGACGTAACGCTTCGTTTCAAGATACCGCGGTAAATCATTTTCGTAGTTTTCATGAAGCAATGTTATTGAATAATTTATTGATCCATGATATTGGCTTAGACGACATCATTCATCTATTGTTATAAAGACCAGTTCGTCATAAATGACGAACGTAACATAATAACGGTATATGAAAGGAATATAATTACTGCTATGCTACAATGGAAGTATGATCCTTTTGAAGTTCGAATAATGAGACAAGGTGCATGCAGACCAGTAGCATGCTGCGTGTATTCATATCTCGTGTGTGAGTAATATGTGAATTAAATACGCATGTCTGATTCACAATGCAGTCTTCGTGCATCTATACACGCTATAATACGCAAGATACCGCGCCACTGATCCGTTTTTCTATGGCGCGTCATCGAAATTCAAAGAATAAAGCGAATCAATTTACGCTTTATTTCCTCTACTCGTTTTCTGCGATAGATTGAAAGATAAACAAAGAAAAATAGACTCAAAGATAATAAAGTAAATCGAATAATATATAAAAGAATCTTATTTTCGGTCAAAGTGCTTAATAATATTCATATGCAAATGCAAATACATTTTGCAGTTCTATAATCTGCATGCCAATTCGGCTTGTTGGACTTGAAACGCAATAATCATAAACTAAAAATAACATCACAAATTACACTGATCGTTAATAATGCTAATGAATCTTAAAATACAACAATAAAGAATTTGTTGTGAAAAATATTACTTTAGCCAGAGTTTGAGCCCGAAGCTTCCAACTTTCGAGAACAGGCATCCGACCAATTTGACAACTGGCATATAGAAATATTTTTTGTAATAACTAGTGAAAAAACGGTATTTTTCCACAATACGTAAATAAAGAATTATAAATGAAAATTAGACCAGTTATTAAGCATCAAAATCCGCTCTGACTAAAAATAAAATTCTTTCTATTATGTCATTTATTCTGATCAGTTTAATTTCTTTATATATTGTATCATATAATAAAAACACAAGAAGTGTTATACTGATAAACATATAATAAAACTTTCTTTTTTTATTCAAACATTATGACGTAACGTGTGTAATAACCGAGTTAAAAAATTTATTGCGGGAGGAAATGCTTTATGCAGAAAAAACTGAAAGAAGCTTCATTACTTCCATCAAGCATTGTTGATAACTCACAATCAGTATAAACGGGCGTACAGAGTTGCATGACAAATGACTTTTAACCCCATTTATGTCGACTTAACACGACGTGAGAGACTATCCATCTCCGATTTCTGCTTACAGTAGTTAGTCTTCTCAGTATCGCGCAATATTCACCGGAGGCATCAACTGGGTTTCAACCTTTTCACGTCACGGAAGTTGGAAGTTTCAACACCAGGAAACAGCAAGCGCTCGGTATTCGGGTGTTAATTAATCGACAACATTTTAAGACGGGCGTACTTGAGATACCGATTCGAGAATCGCTTCTCTCTCACGCCTTTCATAAACTACCCTTCCACCCATCCGTTCTCTTTTGTATGCAATCTCTCTCCTTCTCTTCCTCCTCCATCTCTTTCATCGCTTGATAGCAGCGCAAGTTATTACAACGATTCTCCATCTCTCTCGGGTACTCTTGTTACCCGCCGTTAATTAGAGTACAGTCTGCTACCGACGACAACTAACTGCAAAGGAGAGTCTTCAGCGGCGATCCTATATTCCACCACTTCGTTTCCCCTTCGCTTAAACTCACTCCGAGTTCTCTCCCGCTTGATCCACCATCACCAGAGCACGATGTTTGCGGCTTGAATTATTCCGGCGGATCTACACGCAACCCTGGATCACGCTTTAAAGGATCCGCTTGTCTAGCCCAGTCGTTACCGCGACGACATCGCTTACGACGAAGTCAGGATCTAACTGGAGGGACCTTACTAAATGGACGGAGGACGCGTAACGATCTAGAAGATTGATGTGCCACAATGGCGCGTGATAGTAGGTTCTCAGTTCTGTTACGGTATGCTATGCGTTGCTACTTCGGACTTTGAATAAAGCGACATTCCACTTGGCGAATGTGTATCACATTTGCATCGTCATGCTTATGTGTCGAGTATACTTCTGCAACTTGCTCCTCCTGACTTGTATTTGTGAACAGAAATTTGACGTGATATAACACAGATTACTTCTGGATGAAAATACAGCAACTGAGTGCCTAAAGTCTCTAGAGGAATTAAACGTTATATTAAACGTTATATCCAAAATTAAAATATTAGGGTACTCTCTAGGATATAACTTTAATTTTGGAATGTAATTTTTAAAAATATCACTTGGTCGTTATGTTTCCTATTACAAATGTTAGCGAGTAAATCTCGGAAAGGCAAGGAAGGCGCAACTTTGCGACTTGTTCATTAAGACAAACAAGGTAAGATACGTCGGAGTTGTAGAACGGTAGTGCTTAATTTCTCACGATGAAGTTCTAGTGATTAAGACTGCGATCAGACTTCGCGGAAGTTGCAAACTCAAGGACGCTCACCTTCTCATATCAGCTTATACGCGGCCTGTAACGGTAACCTTAGACATAACTGGAGAAAATTGAGTTACTTCGGGCACGTTTCAGATTGATTTCTAGGTAGCAAGGCCCTATATCTTTCTACGGAGCGAAGCGTGATTGGTTTTCAATCCGTTCTACGTGGATTGAATGATCATTCGGTAAAACTCTACTTGGGCTAAACCCTCTTGCAATATCGTTTTCTATGTGTGCGATAATTTGATCCCGCTGTAGATACATTGTTACCGATTCCAGATCTCCGCGTTTTCTCTTGGGAGTACGTAGGATAAAATACTGTCTATCGACAACCCAATACAGTCGGTCGACTATTTTCATAGTACATTTTATATTGTAATTTCGATCTGAAATATTACAATATTTCTAATAATACAAAAAATTTCTCAGATATAATCATTTTAGGAATAGATTTAAATAAATGTGCCATATTTTTTGTCCAATTATTTAAGAAAGTATAATATATATGTAATATTAGAATATATTTCAACAATATTCTCGCATTGTATCGCGTTATATGAGTTTATGACCGCACAATCTACTTATCAGCGCAGCATCTGTGATACAATTTCATTAATATATACAAAAGTTATGAGGTCGTAGAGTGAAATAGTTATAGATGGGTAGTAGCTATCGGTTTAAACTTTCAACGGTGATAATTAACAGTAAAATATATTAAAACCGTCCAGTCTAAATTATATAACGGACTATTCCTGTAATTCGATTATTGCAACGTCCATCAGGCAGAGTGACGGCATTAACGGATAAATGTCCCAGGTTATAAAAATTTAATGTCCGTCGAGATCTGAATACTCGTGAGATTGCTTTTCTCTTAAGCGAGTATTTTATGCATTTATCATCATTCCCGGTTTGACGCTCTCTGTTATGCGAGCAATAGATTAAATTCTGAACTCATTTTTTCAAAGAAATGTCATTAAAATCATTTATGATTGCATTAATGGAACGTATCTTCACAGCAATGTCTAATTTGGTTTAATGTCATTATAAAATTTCCTTTAAAGCGCTTTAAAATAGTAAAGTAATACTTTGAAAAAGATCTAATGTTCAATTTCTATATTTTATTACTCTAGCGGATCTCATTTGTAAAAAAAAGCTTTAAGCCAATAATAATTAATTAAAGTAAATATAATCATCCGTTATTTTATATTATTTTAAGGAGTATTGTAAATTTTAACATTTTATTAATATCATAGCAACATGCGTTTGAGGACTTCTACCCAACTTTAGATAGGTTCATTTCACTTTGATGTCTCTTTTCTTAATTGCCGTGCAGAAAGCTGATGCGCCATTAATTGTACTCGTTTGCGAACTTTCAGCCAGTCGTGGCTCGTTAATTGACACTATCAATCCTTCGTACAGAGGTTATCGTGAAGCACACTTTCGCGTCCGCCGCTCGTCGTTTGCGCTATAACCCTGATTGCCAAAGTTCGAATCGTTAAAAAAGATTCGGAGTAATGCGAAAAAATAACGCTACGCGATATTTCATCGTTTACTGCGCCACTTCTTTCCTTCCTTTTTCGCTTTCCCGTCGGACGAATGAAAATATGTCGCGTAAAAAAGAGGAAACGCATGTGCGCTCGTTTTGACATGTTTTTTCAGCTCGTAACGAAGCGACACGCGGTCCGAAGCATAATTTATCATAATGTATTATCATATGAAAATGAAGATTAGTGTACGTGACAACTGCAAATATCGCGTGTTCATGCATTCCGCGGGCAAATCATGAGAAATGATAAATGACGTTAATAAGTCACATGCACAAGAAATTAGTGACACATTATTATACTTTAACTCTAACAAATTTAACATTAACTTTATATTTTATTACAGCAGTCACTTTTTTCAGTAGAGTCATTTCATCATAAGCGCTCTTCACCAAAAGTGTTACGTACTTAAAATTATGAAAATTCTAACTATAATAAGAGAATATTAATCCAATTTTATGGTAAAATTTCACAGTCTAATTTTTTTCGTTATCATCGCGTTGTATGAATCATAAAGAATAACAATTGTACTCACTGTATCCACCCACGTAGATGGGCGTCCATGTTACTTGAGTATAGGCCAAGGGAGTTGCTGCGAATAACACGGCGCTGAACCATACCGCCCGACGTACCGCACTCATTTCACTAACAGCCTCGATAGTCGTCATTTTTTTCTCACGTTTCAATCAGTTCTTCGTCTCGATATCATCTTCTCCAACATGCCTCCGCTACTCCTCTCCGCTTTTATTCGTTATGCTCGTTCCTCTTTTTCCTCTCTTTTTTTTCGTCCAAACACGGGCGCACAACAATACGTCACGGCCGTTGAATATCTACGCAATCGAACGAAACTCTCGATACCACCGTCGCTTTATCCTGCAGCATCTAATAGCTGGTATTTTCATATCATTGTGATTTGAAGCCGCTCGACGGATAATAGCTCGAAGGAAATTACAAGAATACGATGCTGCGTGATTTATACACGCATAATATTTATATGCAATTCAATTAAAATGCTCAAAAGAAGAATTTCATTAAATCAAGTCTGCGTATTAATAAGAGCGAACTTGGGAGCGTGAAGGATCGACATGCAGATGGATTGTCGAGGGAGGGATGAAGATTCAATAGATAGATAGATCAAAAGACGTGCCATTGATTGAAAATAGAAAAGAGTGAAGCGTTTTTACTTGACTCGTGAGTATTAATTAGTCTTGCGGTTGATTCTAGCTAGGTTATGATCGAGTATCACGATAGGACATAACCGACTCGCGAAGCAACGAAATTAATTAATTAAGCACGATCGCGCGTCTCCGCTCTAATTGATGCTCGACACGAATTGATGCTTAACACAATCCGTTATACTACCATCGGCGACAAATATGGAAATTTAGAATAAAGGGACAGCGGCCCGTCGTTGTTTATCAGACGCACTTTTTCCGCGTCATTGAACGAAAGAGCTTTACGTCACGTAAAATTTTGCACTCTCGTTGCCGTTATTCCTCTTCCCGGACAGAATCTTCATTTCTGCACGAGTCCTGATTTATGCACCCTATACTTCACGTTCCTTCTTCTCAGAACGTATTACTCCGTTCCTTCGGGTATAACATGAAGACACAATCATCGCTTTTACCGACGGCGATCGTGAGAGTAACGGCCTTTCTACTCCCGCTGCTCGCTCTTCTCTACTCGTACTTTTTTACCCTCGTAACATGTGCGAGACCGTTACCACTATTTTCCACCTTTTTTCTTCCTTTCAGATCTACCGGACGCTAGTTCTTTCTCACTCCCAAGCGGAATTAGACTCATGCAGACCTTACTCGTCTTCTTAAATCCTTCAATGACTTTGCCCAGTTCAAAAAGCTTTTTTCCACCGATACGAGATCCCGTCTGCAACAAAATAGCAAAATATTTCATTAGAAGGATTCCTTTGACGGATGATCATTAAGAGATGAAGCACGGACCAAGTCTCAAAGAACTCTTGTGAAAAATTCCAAGACTAAGGGAAACTATTGGAACCTACAGATTTACACGATTGCTAAAAGCGACTTTTCTAAATTAAAGTGTTCGTCACATTTTTCACGTGAAATTTTTATTTTTATAATAAATTTTTTAAAATAATTTTAAATTAATTGTTAAATTATATATACTGATATATTACATATAATGATAATAATAATATGCAAAATATAAACGTGTTAACATGTATCGATTGTTCGAAATTGTATTTTTTTAAATACCATAATACGTCATATTTTCAATTGTCCATTACTTATAAATGCGACAAGTACAAAATTAAAATTGTTAGAAATAGATCGCAAAGAGAGATAAATAGAGAGAAAAGGTATTCTTATATATATTTTCCACATCTATTTAAAAAAAAAAAACTTAAAAAATATATCAAATACAAAAGCACTCCTCTACTCATTAAATTTTTTCGCTTATTTTATCTCATTTTCTTGAATATAAAACGTGGGAGCATGACAGACATAATAATTATCTTATGCGGTTACTTTAATTTTCGTCACGTCTCAATCGGAATGAAATTCATATCGCGACGAGCGAGAAGAGACCGCATAGTTTCTAGGACTGCGATGGCATTTGCATTTTCATCTGCTTGGAAATGTCGTCGATGTCTCGTTAGCGTATCTCCATCGAGGCGACGAGCGGTGCATAAGACGGAGGTCATGGTTCTCCCGTGATGTTTCACGAGGTCGCTATATAGTAAGGACTTTGGAGGCCGAAGGCGGGATGACGACCCCATTATGGTGACGCCAGCGGAAAGTAGAGGTGGAGTTGACAATTCAGTTGTACATAATGTGACAAGCCGAAGTTATCCCATCGTTTTGCCACCAAGTGTTATTCACTCATCGTTATCTATCGTCGCCGGTTTTACCACGAACTTGTCCAGCAGTTATGAAAGCCACTCTGCGTTCTGCAAGGACGACCTTTATACACTACCTCATATAGTGCATCGGTGGACGATCGGGTGCTTAGCTGCAGGAACTACCTGTTCTTCTCTTCCCTCCCCCACTTCTAGTCCTTACTATGTACTTATCGCTCGTCCACCTTATTAGCTCGCGCTATCTTCTTAACTGCTCTTAACACTGCCTTAACCGAGATTCCTGAACACTTTCCTGCACCGTAGCATTTTCCGGTCTACGATTACGTTCAAAGTAGAGAGCAACTTGCAACTTTCGCCGTCGCATCATTTCAGAATAAAGAAGGTAACTCCGTTAAGGACGTTTTTCTCAAGTATATAAACTCAACCCGTGTAAATAACAGTATTTCATAGTCTTTCTTTTTTTCATCCAACATTCATTTGTTTGAACAAAATTCTTTTCTTTCCTTTGTCTCCTTTTATATCATGTAGAAGTAAAAGAAGAGAAACATCGGACGACAAATAATTATCTCTTTTTTCCATCAAAATAGAAGTGATTGCGTTAGAGAAGGTCTGACTAGATGCTGACTTTATCTACTAGGATATATTTGTAATGCAATTACAATATTTATTGCGCCATAACTTTTTTGTCATGCTTCAAATTACATTTTGTTGCTGCCACGGACACAAATGATATTTTTATTCGTTAGATTAAAATGTATTTTTACAGCAATACGTCTGGCTCAGAAATTGTTCTATCCGCAAAAGCGGTCTTTAGTTATTTCATACCGCCGCCGATCTCGTATTCAACAGTCATCTCGTTTGATCACCTCTTGCATACGATCCTCCAATTATAATTCGCCACTCCCATCAGACACCTTCATCGTAACCGTGTCAAGTGTTTCCCCTTCCGGTATGACGCTTTTCCTTTTATTCTCTTTTTTTTAAGTAATCTCCATTGGGAAGCACTACCCCTATAAATGGGTTTATCCAAAAGGTGCCGATGTAGTTAATTTAATCCAGGTGCTGATTGGACACGCAAGGAACGGTGATCGAAATAGAAGAAGAAACATGTAACTGGAGTCGGCATGAAAGAACGAAAAAGAAAGCCTCAAGTGGCTTGTGATTGTGTCATGCAATTATGGCTAGTTTCGTTTGATAAAACCGACCTAACGGTAAAAGAGGTTTCGATGAAAAGAGAATCAGCGGTTACCAGAATGTCAACGACACAAAGGCCGGGTCAGCTCTGTCTCGTCTCTTTTTTTTTCTCTTTCTCTTTTCCTTTCTACATCTTTTCCCGGTTCAGCAATCTGCAATTTGCTTTCTACTCGGAAATGTTTTCTCTATCCGAATTGTCTCCGTTTTCAGTTATTACGTTTCGCTATGTATATGAGTAAGTATAGAAATAACGCTCTGTAGATAGTTATAATCGAGCATCTTTCGCACGTCGCTAAGATAAGCAGTAAAACTTAATGTTCATGCCAAGACTAAATGGCCAAATTCTCCATAGGAAGATCAAATGTCCGAAGAGGTAAATAGTTACGAGTAAATAACATTTCTCGTTGCAAAGATAATTACTCGGGCCGCAGTTCGCACGAGTTCACGCCGTGTGTCTGGAGTTTACGTCGTTTTCTCTCTCCTTTCCTCACCCTTTGTCTAACCTTGTTTCTTGATGCCCCGGCAACTCCTCGTTTAGCACCACCGCAAATTAGCCTGCAACCGCGTTTTCTGCGTCCATCTACAAGCGCTGCAACGAGCGCGTATGCCGTTTTCGTTTCAAGGTGAAGCACATGTTCTTTGGCCGAAACTTAATTAAAGGAACGCTATCTCTTGTAGAGATATTAGCTCGCGCTGTCTGTTTAATTTAATGTTCATTAAATGTTCATTTAATAAGATGAAAAGAATTATGTAGGGCTCAATCATGCTTGACTTGAAAGGGTTATACCAAAGCATAAATAATATAATAGCTGTATGATGTGTAGCTCCTTTGGCACAGGTATGCCTTTGATAATACTAAATATTTCCTGCTTTCCAAAATTTCGAATTAAACCAGAGAAATGCAAATAATAAATTTATAATCGAATATATTGCAGTATATATTTAGAAGATCAGAAGAAAGATTTAAATAATAAAATATAAATAATAGAAAATTTAAATAATTTGTCATTCGCTAATAATATCTTGAGACAACAAAGACATTAACATTGACAATAATTAGTCCGCTGAACTCTACTGTCACGGTTATTGAATGCATGGCGAAGCAACATAATTATTAATCGAGTTAGGCTTCAATTAAATGGAATATCGATTAATTACGCATCAGAATGTATCTTAGCACGTCCACAATCAAGGCCTTTAATTGTCTGTGGCTTTAGATGACTGTGCGCTTCGTAGTATTGTATAATTAATCATCTGACCATCCTGCCGATCAAACAACTTGAAGTGATGTTTCTTGTGAATTACCAGCTGTAAATTCGAAACTAACGAGCAAAGTCATACTGAGATTAACACATATATAATGATACTGAGCAACAAAATCGTCATTGTTACATAAAATTATATTGCAAGAATAAAATGGAATATAAAAAATAAAAAATAGATACTAAATAAATTATTTAAATTGTTAAATTTAATATTATAATACTACATATGTGGGCTTACATAAAAATTCTCTGTATATTTATAGTATAATAATTTATGTGTTCTAAGTATTACACAGTAGAAATTATATTTGTTCGTAAATATCCATTTAATCAAGAAAACATATTCCACTAATATTTGTTGAAATACGTAAAACAAAAGCAACCATGCGCGCTTGCAGCTTCGGTTGTCGTTTGTTGTTATAGTTGGAAGATATATTCTTGGATAAGACTGCATGATAAAGATATATGCATCGAGCATTAATATTCAGGTCAGACCGAGCGTGAATTCTGTAGCGAATGTCGCGCTATACCGTTATAGTTCCAACAAGCGCTTCTCAGGATGTACTCAAGTTGTACTCGCTGTT